GACGAATAAAAAGGGGCATAGCCCCTTTTTTATTTTCCATTATATATACCCTATAGAAAAAGAAAAGGGGAAGGGTTGGCATTTTCTTTTAAGGTTGGCTTTTGCTTTTCAACCTCTTGTTTTTGACATATCTGAGGACATTCCCAGCAAGTCTGCCATTTCAAGCCGCTCCTGGTAGTACGATAACCTTGGGTTGGGAAATCATCTTCTTAGTACTGAGGTTGAGCACTCAGTGCCCAGTACCTTGTCCCTTTGTAGGCTCAATGTAAATTGTCCCAATTGCATCAACATATTGTCCAAGTTCAGCAACCATGTCACTCTTTTAGTTTATATTGACATTATCAATGAGTTGCTGCGGACTGAAATGTGATGAGATACTGTCTTTCCGGGGAAAGACATTCAATAGCTCGGCGGCTTGACGTCCAAGACATTCAGTGATCACCTTTGGGACCACTTTGTAGGGTAATTGTGCAAGAGCTACTCTGACTCGTGGTCTCCAGCTGCAGCCGGGTCAATAGTAACACCCATATTGTCTAGCATATCATCCGTCAGAGGAATGACTTGAAAGCCTGCCTTGTTGTAGCAGCGGAATATCTTATCCAATGCTTCAAAGACAGTGTCAGTATTCAGGTTCTGCACGGGAATACATGAGCGATAACGCACAGTGGTATCAATGCAGGTGAGAAACTTAGCATTCTCGATCTCCATGTGATCAATACAGACGGTAATAGATCAATTGTGCTGATACAATTCCTCTGATGGACTGAAGAAGTTGTCGTATGTCTTCTTTGGAGTTGGTCTTGTTGACTTGCCTTTCAATGTAGAGGCATCAGGTCCAAAGATTGCTTTGGCATGATTGATCGCTTCTTTGGTGATAGGAAAGTTCTTGATGAGACCAGATCAGATTGCATACTTCAGACTTTTGGTGCTTGGAGCGTTGAGTATGTGCATTGCACATCTCGCTTCCATCGCAGCTGTCTTGGAGTGATTCCTTCCTTATTCTTTCGAACGGTTGCCATTTTCTTGGAGGTCATCTTGAGTCCAGCATATCCATTCTGTTTGTTTGAAGAAAGTTCAAAATGGGGTTGTGTATTTATGTTGATTATCTGGCAATGGTACATTGCACTTGTCTCTTTGGCACCTAGTTTGACATTTGTTATAAGTTGCTCCAACACATACACACCCTTACAATTTACAAATCACATCTTTCTGTTTCCATCACAATGCACAATAAATGCATTGTCAGCATCAGTATCCATAGTAATGGGGTATCCCGCAGCAATCATCTCGCGCATCACAAGTACATTGGCAATTCCATCTTCATCGTCATAAACTGGAGGCGGAAATCCCATAGCAATTGCTTGTCCCATTTTGTTGATGACGTGTAGGCTTGTGAACTCGTTAACGTCACTAGTCACATCAAACAATTTGCTGGTGGTGGTGTTGAAGCGTGAGCAAATGTCTGGGCATACTGATGTGTAGCGCTCCATCAAGAAATCCACCCTGTGTTCCATTGTTGTCTTTGTCTGCTTGATGGAGTTCACAGACTGTTGTAGGATTGCTTGCTTGATTTCCAGAGACTCTTTGGTTGGAGCTAGGACCGCAGTATTGATGGTATAATGGTTGTAGGTGATGTTTTGTCCAGGTGGCATTGGTTGACCCAATACAATGGCTTTGGTTGGCCCAATACAATTGTGTGTTGATACGATCGTTTCTTTTCTCTTTTTCATATTTGTGATGCGGCGTGGCTATCATTGCGGCAAATGCTGCATTCTCCATATTGACAGGACTTGGTGATGTCATAGCAAACATGGTGTGCTGGAAATGATCGGGGTTGAACTGTCCTCCCCATGTGTAAATTGAAAGCATTTTGGCTTCAAATCTTCCACTTAAGGTGCTATTGTTGTGCTCCTGACTCTCAGCATAGAAAGAGCATACTAGTGCATTGATATAGCTACTGTTGGACATGATAGACGGTGATTGATATTGCTATTGGGGTGTATTTACAGGGGTCTGAAGCAGCTGTGAGTAGATGATGGATGATTTTACAAATGGTGGTGTTTGTGCAACCACTGTCCATGATGACATGATTGTACAACCCAAATGGATCTCTTTCCTTTCTGTGGCTTTGGATAAACTGCAGACCTCGATCTGCTTCAGTAGCAAGATCAGGCAAATCTTCATTTTCACTAGCATAGTGCCACTTGGTTTGAAGTTCAACATTTGTCATACCAGCAGGACATGGAATAAGATAGACATCATTGCCATTCTCATCCTTTCCCTTGATAGCATTGTGGAAGACATTTGACATATCGTAATAGCCAGACTTCATGACCTGCGGAGTTTGAGCTTGAGTTGCATTGAATTTTTGGCGCACTTGAGCACCACTGAATCCTTGAAGGCCAAATTGCATTCCACTGAACGCAATCTCACCGTTAGCATTCATTGAGTAAGGAACAGTCACAGTGCCGACACCTTGAGTTGGAATCTGCATGAGCTGCATTCTCAAAGGAACTTGCATCATTTGATTACCTTGAGTACGAGCAAATTGCAAAGATGTGTTAATGCTTCCCACAACACTTGATGCTCCACTTGTGAATGCTGAAGCACCAGGACTATAGCTGGAACAGTAGCTGGAACAGTTGCTCCAATCTGATTAAGATTGAGCTTCTTCCCATAGTCGACATATTGATCCTGATTCTTCCATTGGATCTTTGGTAGCAGTCTGTCTGGGCATTTTGGAGACATATGATCTACCCTGTTCCCATGAAGTGATTTGGTCTCATTTGTTTCTTTGGTCCCAAAAATGACCGCTGGCGCCTACCCTACCTCCTTGGTAAACTTACTTGTATATGCCCATGGGTCCTTGCTGCATAATTGGTATCAGAGATCTCCTTGTATTTCCTAACCATTTGATTGTTGATTTGGTTCTGAACCGTCATCCTGGAAAGAAGTCGCCTCAAAATTGTCTTGGGCCATCCTAGTTATTTTGGCTTCTTGATTCACACATTAGCTCCCTGGTAAAGTTACTTGTATATGCCCATCACTCCTTGCTGCATAATTGGTATCAGTGATCTCCTTGTATTTCCAAACCATTTGATTGTCGATTTGGTTCTGAACCGTCATCCTGGAAAGAACTCGCCTCAAAACCGTCTTGAGCCATTCTAGTTATTTTGATTTAGCGATTCACCCATTAGCTCCTTGGCAAACCTACTTGCATATACCCATCGGGCCTTGTTGCCTATTTTGTCTTTGCATTTGCCCTGAGTGTTTGATGAGTTCATTTACCTCAAGGCGCACCACACTGCAAATCAAAGTGTTGTTTTCAGGTGCAAATTCACCACCAGATTCCATCAGTCTAGCGGAACGCTCCGTTCCAGTTGGCTTGGAATGGAATATTTCAAAGTCAAAGTGACTGAACTGCTTCTAATTGTCAATTCTGCATGCAATCCAGAAGTGGCCAAGAATCTATCCCAGTCAATGTGTCGCTATCCAGAAACGGTTGGATCCCAACAAAAGCTATCATCATACATACATGCATCAACATTGGGTGCTGTTTTGCAATGTCGAGGCAGAAATGAGATTCCCTCCTATGATTACTTCCTGCTGCCCCCTTGCAAACATTTCAGGTGGCTTGGATGAATGTTTCAAAATTCCATGTATTATAATCTGAAGTGCGTACACCTCTAGACTATGTATTAAACAAATAGTAGATGTTCAAATACAATATTTGTAATCAAAACAAGGTCTGATTGTACAAGAAGGTGCTCTTGCCTCTTGTTTGTAACGTGACTGACTGGACTGCCAAGTCCCGAGCAGACATATTAGAGCGATCGAAGGCCAACGGTCATTGCCAATCTCAAGCCCAAATTCAATCATCTATCATCTACTCACAGCTGCTTCAGACCCCCCTAAATAAACCCCAATAGCAATATCAATCACCGTCTATCATGCCTAGCAGTAGCTACATCAATGCACTAGTACAATCTCTCTACGATGAGAGTCAGGAGACCAACAGTGTCACATTAAGTGGAAGCCAGCCCAAGATTTGAAGGCCCCATGCATTCAATTCGCAGTCAGAGCCACCAAGCTTGTTCACACAATCAGCCAACACATGGGGAGGACAGTTCAACCCTGATCATTTCCAGCGCAACGCATTTGCTATGATGTCAGCAATTCCTGTCAATATGGAGAATGCAGCGTTCGCCGCCATTACTGCGCCGCGTCGCATATATGAAAAAAGAAGCGATCGCATCAACGAGAAATTGTTTTGGGTCAACCAATGCCACCTGGACAAAACATCACCTACAACCATTATACCATCAATACTGCCGTCTTAGCTCCAACCACAGAGTCTCCGGAAATCAAGCAAGCGATCCTATAACAGTCTGTGAACTCCATCAACCAGACAAAGACAACAAGGTAGATTTCTTGATGAAATGCTACAAATCTGTGTGCCCAGACGTTCGCTTGCGAGTCAACGCCGTCATCAACAACACAGGACAAGCGATCGCTACAGGACCGGGACCAGGAACTTCAGCACCATTTAGAGCCGCTGCCACATACTTCTGAATCAAGCTCCAATTGGTCCCACGGCTGATAACGAAGCCTACAAAAAGTGGTCCAAGCAACAGATCGCAAAGACCCAATTTCAAGCACTCGAACAAGCACTCACGGCCACCTACGTCAGACTACATCAAGGAATGGAGACGCCAAACCAACAACTGGCAAAACTCAACATGATCCAATACAAAGGAGGCACAATGATGTACGACAGCATGGCAACTTCATTTGGCAGAATTGCCACAATTCTAAATGGATTCAACCACAAGAACCCCCCGCCAACCAAGCTATCAGACTTGGCAGGAGTAGCATTCCAAGCCTTCACACAAGAAATCAAGGATGTTGTGGCTGAACACCTAGAGACAGGAGCAGCAGGACCACTACTTATGGACTAGCCAAGCAACCTGTCTTGAATGCACCTTCTACACAATTGAGCAGAGAAAGAAGTGAGGCGCATCAAGCAACTCGTGGGAATTGCAAACAGCGAGGGACAAGTCAGGCCAAACAGAAGCTACGTTCCAGGGCTATCTGCACCACCAAGTCCAGGAGGAAAAGCTTTTGCAGGATTCCACCAAAAAGAATTCCAAGGATTACAAGACAATTGCTCCGTCCAAACTCCAACAATCAAGACCGCTGGAACCTTCCACACCGTATTGACGCCCACACCAAAGCAAAACGTTCGAGTTACTGACGGACAAGGAAGACCATTGTTAGTCCCGACACCCGGCAGCAAACTATACTGCCCACAAGCTGCCGTATCAATGCTAGCATGCATGAGTGCTGCCGAAGAAGCACTCAACATGGAAGAAGAAGGTGACAGAACACCTTTGATCCGTTGTTGGGGATGCCAAAAGATAGGCCACTCTTTCAGAGAATGCCCCCACAAAGGAGATCCGGGAGTTATCAGCCAGTTTGAAAAAAGCCTAGAGGACAACAGACTAAAGAGAGAGCAGAGACAACACAAATGCGAGATAGCAAGTTACAAGGACAGTGGTTATATTAATCAAATAGTTTATGAAACAATTCAAAAGATTGAGTTTCCAGAAACACGGGAAGATGAACAAAGAACACTGCTGATAAACTTGGCCAAAAGAGAAGGCAAAGGAGAGCGGACCCCCCACTCACTTTCTTGATGGTCGGAAGCTTTGCAGCAACGGAACAAGCACAAAAATTGGACTTCCCAGTGAATGAAGTCCTAGCAGTGATCCACTTCCCAATCGACCTCAACCGCGGAGACACAGCCAACTTGAAAGGAATATACAACACAGGAGGATGCTGCAACATAGGAGAAAAAGCATACCATCTCGCCATCGCAAAACAACACCAACAATTGGTCAAATAGGTGTACAACTTTCCAAAGATTCACTGTGCCCCAATCAAGATTGGAGGAATCAAAGACAGTGTCAACATCAAAGCAATCATTGAATACTACATCTCTTTTGCCAACAAGGATGGAGAAAATCACATGTTGATGTTTGGATTGACGGAGCAACTACCCGTCAACACACTCTTTGGATTACCATTCATGTTGAAGGCAAAGATGGCACCAGACTTTCATCGAAAAACAGTAACTTCAAGCCTCTTCAACCAAAAATGTGAACTCACCATGGAGCGACCCACAATGCTTCCAGTGGAACACACCAACATTACACCAAAGAACACATAACGCAGATCAATCAGAAGACGAACAAATGAAGGCTACCGTGCTATTGCACACACATGCAATGGTTCGTGTCCGTAAGTGAACGGGATTGGCCTTCGTGAAAGCCCGTCGATGAAACTACGATAACACACTCTTTTTAACAATACGATTCGATCTACGTTACTATCATTCACATCTACTACTTCGTAAGTCAACACCCTTGTAATAACATAACGATTACATTTAAATGGTTTATCAGATCCAGCAATAACTGCCAAAAGTTATCCGACGAACAAAACGAAAATGAATACATTTGAAATGTATTGAAATGTATTGTATTGAAATGTATCAAAATGTATCGAAATGCAATGCCATCAAACGTTATGAACGTAATAATGAGCATGATCGTAAATACAAAATAACATCAAACGTTATGAACATTGTGATGAATGGTGCTGAGCAACACCAACGAAAACTGCCACGAATGGTGCTGAGCAACACCAACAAAAACTGCCACACATGGTGCTGAGCAACACCAACGAAAACTGCCACGAATCGTGCTGAACAACACCAACGAAAACTGTTACAATCATGCTGAACAACACCAACAAAAACTGTTACGAATAAAAGAAATGTGAACTAACAATTTGATGTTTGACATTGATGCAGGCAACATGGCCGCTGTTCCTCCTTTCTTCACCGTACATGACGACATGGTCATCTGTGGCATCGATGATGTCACCCTCTTCCAAGGACGCACACAAGCCGAGAGAATCGCTTACGAAATATTCTCGGACGATTTCACCATGACGATGGACAGCACCATTGACGAACTAAACGAAGAGTTCAAGACCCTCGCAGGACTGACCCATCATGTCACATTCGACTCCAAGCTTGAATGGGACCAAACTCTATTGGATCCCAACATTGACAAGCTAGTTGAATGGGACCAAACCTTATTGGACCCACATAATGGTGATCTTGCGAACTTGTCCAGTCTTGAGTGGGACCAAACCTTATTGGACCCACACATTGACGACATGAATGAACAAGTTCTTAAAGAATGTGAGAGTCAATCTGATAGAGTTGGCATCCTAAAGTGTAGTCAAACTATTCTAACTCTGAATGAAGCCTCTGAAGATGAGACTCCCGAACAACTAGATGATTTTGACACTGCTATGGATGGCATTGGTAATGCCACACTCGTCTCCAACCTTGACTGGGACCAAACTTTATTGGACCCAAACATTGGCAATCTTGGCCGTAGTGTCTCTGCCAACAGCACTCGCCACGGCTTGCTCCTTCAGTTGACGGAAGCGAGCATGGGGAGTGATTCTGATGCTCTTCTTCCTGAACAAGATGAGACTGAGGAGTACCCAATGGATTTGGAGAACGGGGAGCAACAGTGTGTGATGTCTGATAAGCTGGCTATCGTACCGGCTACCAAGCATCCTCTGCCTACACCCCCACAAGAAGCCAAGCAACACGAGCTTACATTTGATGGAGTAAAATATAGATCAGTTAATAACCATACTATTATCTGTTCTATCCAGAAAGTCAACGCTCGTAAACACCTAGCTTTGATTGATAGAGGTGCCAATGGCGGCATTGCTGGAGATGATGCCCGCATCATCCACAAATCCAATTGTACTGTTGACGTACAAGGCATTGACAACCACCAAGTGGCTGATATTCCTATAGTCACTTCGTCTGGATTAATCCACACCCAACGTGGACCTGCCATTGCCATCATGCACCAACGAGCCTACATTGGAAAGGGTCAAACCATTCTGTCCAGTGGACAACTGGAACACTTCAAGATTGTCGTGGACGACAAGCTTACCAAAGCTGGTGGTCAACAACGCTTGGCAACACCTCCCGACTACGATTCTGAAGATGAAGAACGTCCGTTTGATCTTGTAGGAGTCCTTAAGAATAATAAATCTGTTACTTCTTTCAAGGAATCTAAACCAGATGACACTATTGATTATTTTGAGAATTTCAATTGTCTTCTTCCAACTGATGGACTGTACGAGCAGCGCCATCGAGCATCTGAAGACCTTACCTGGTTTGACTGTAACATGGCTGATCTATTTGGCCTCGATGCAGCACCAGAAGATTCACCCATACCTGAGTGTTTCGTGGTCCATGAGGCTTGTAAGCGTCCTTCAGTACTGTTTGACCCAGGACAACCAGTCAACTACAATATTGAGTCAGCTCCTTTGGAAGCCAATTCTTTCAAGGACCTCATACTTGATTCGGACAAGCCTACTCTGAGGCGCAACCCACGCCATAAGGCTTGGACGACACCTCATGGGGAGTCAGATCGTTGTCCACCGCCAAGAGTACATTTCTTTGATACTCTGACTGTCCACGAGAGTAGTAGTCAAACCATAGCTACTATAAAGAACTCTACACTAGAGGGTGCTGTTGCTTTCCTTACTGACTTTGTACTGGAAGACTACTTGCTCCAACAGTTGCCGGAAACGAGCATGGGGAGAGATGATGCTACTAGTGCTCTTTCTCCTGGACATGGTGGAAACAAGTCAGATAGAGAGTCCGACCAAACAATAGATGAGATAGTCACTGACAAAGCTATTTTAGTTTGTACTCTTGACATCCTTGAAGACGCTCTAGACTGTACTCTTGACTTCCTTGAGCCACTCGACTTTGATCTGATCAATCGTGGATTGAGCACCGCTAACATTCCAAATGCCACGCTCATTCCTAATAGACAACAGGTATGACAATCAGCGGTCTTTACGAACACCACCTCAAAATTCTACAGATTTATCCACGGTTTTTGGCAGTCCAACTGTAAGGAATGGGATTGGAATCCACCTAACTCCAACAA